TTTTATTTTAGTTAGATCTTCTGGGACACCATCTCGTTCAATGGTACTACCCACTACAAATATCAGGTTTTTAGGTTGGCTTTGGCCTTTGGCTTCAACACCACTGGCCATTATTGTCTAGAAATATATATAAAAAATAGATATTTATGACCCAACTTTTAATACCGAGGTTTTAATCGTGTAGTCATATATAACTGGAATGTGATCAACAACAGGTAGAAAAGTACACTCGGGCATGGCCGACCATATGATAAAATATACTCATGATATCCATATGAGTATATTTTAAATAATATTTATTTTTCATAGAGACATTTTTATGTATTTAAGCAATTTATTGATGAAAAACTATTTTTCTAAATGAGGTTTTGTATGGGAGTCAAACATGGGTCGATCCACGTAAAATTTGGTGAAGGGTGGTTCGGTTGTATGGGGGAAACGTGAAATAGTGGACCGATTTCAGCCATTTTCAATAGGCTTCGTCCCTTTGCCGAAAAACACGTTTGGTACAAATTTTATCAAAATATCTTGAAAATTGCGACAAGTACCTTGTGCACAAGGTCTTGTCTTAATCGAAAGAAAGTGATTCTGAGGCGATCGGTATACTTTAAGGTGAGTCTAAGACCAATATTTTTATGCGTTACAAACATCAGCACAAAAGCATAATATCCTCCCCACTATAGTGTAGGGTACAAAAATGTATACAACAATACAAAAAAATTCATGATTTTATGAATTTATTAGCTATACCCAGTGTGCTTTGCTACCCTAAAAGAAATATAAATAAAAAATCTTCTTAATAATTTTGAAGATTCTAACTGTAATGTTTTCCAGAGATGCATTTTTTCGGAACGTTAATTAAGATTTTAATGTAATCGATGACAAATTAAAAAAAAAATCTAATATTTTCCCAGATATACGAAATTTTGTATTTAATTCATATAGGGGGTGCCAAGACCCCATTGAAAGTCCGCCCGTTATTCTCTAAATGTTCACATTAATGTCAAAGATCTTCATGTAGAATTTGAAGATTCTAGCTCTAATAGTTTCTCAGATATACGAATTTTTCTATTTAATTCGTATGGGAACTCACAGCCCCCAGATGAAAGTCCGCCCTTTTTTGCTCCAAAATGTTCATATATATAATAAAGTTCTTCTTGCAATATTTGAAGAATCTTGTTCTATTAGTTTCCCAGATAAGCGAAATTTTGTATTTAATTCATATGTGAGGTGCCAAGCCCCCCATTGAAAGTCCGCCCGTTATTCTCTGAATGTTCTCATGAATGTCAAAGTTCTTCAATTAAAATTGAAGATTCTAGCTCTAATAGTTTCTCAGATATAATATTTTCCTATTTAATTTATATGGGGGATCCAAGCCCCCCATGACGAAAGTCCGCTCTTTTTTCTCCAAAATGTTCAGATGAATATTTAAGTACTTAATGCAAAATTTGAAGAATTTAGTTCTATTAGTTTCCCAGATAAACCAATTTTTGTATTTTATTAATATGGGAGGTGCTGCTCCCCTCATGGGTAGTCCGCCAATTTATTTCCCAAAATATTTACATGGATGTTAAAGTTACTCGTGCAAATTTTTAATATTCTAACTATAATAGTTTCCAAGATAAACGAATTTTTGTATTTAATTTATATAGGAGGTGCCACGCCCCCTAATGCTAATCCGGCCACTTTTTGTCTTAAATAATTATATTGATACTAAAGTTGCTCCGACAAAATTTGAAGACTCTAACTATTATATTATCTCAGATATACTAATTTAATATTTTCTTAATATGGGCGTGTCACGTCGCCCACATGAAATTTCAACATAAAAAGTAGCCTATACAGGAAGAAACTGTGAAAATTTCAGGAAAATCGGTCCAGCCGTTTAGCAGTCTATAAAGCACAAACAAACATACAAACATACATACATACATACATACATACATACATACATACATACATACATACATACATACATACATACATACATACATACATACATACATACATACATACATACATACATACATACATACATACATACATACATACATACATACATACATACATACATACATACATACATACATACATACATACATACATACATACATACATACATACTACATACATACATACATACATACATACATACATACATTCATACATTCATACATACATACATACATACATACATACATACATACATACATACATACATACATACATACATACATACATACATACTACATACATACATGCATACATACATACATACATACATACATACATACATACTACATACATACATACATACATACATACATACATACATACATACATACATACATACATACATACATACATACATACATACATACATACATACATACATACATACATACATACATACATACATACATACATACATACATACATACATACATACATACATACATACATACATACATACATACATACATACATACATACATACATACATACATACTACATACATACATACATACATACATACATACATACAACATACATACATACATACATACATACATACATACATACATACATACATACATACATACATACATACATACATACATACATACATACATACATACATACTACATACATACATACATACATACATACATACATACATACATACATACATACATACATACATACATACATACATACATACATACATACATACATACATACATACATACATACATACATACATACATACATACATACATACATACATACATACATACATACATACATACATACATACATACATCATACATACATACGTACATACATACATACATACATACATACATACATACATACATACATACATACATACATACATACATACATACATACATACATACATACATACATACATACATACATACATACATAACATACATACATACATACATACATACATACATACATACATACATACATACATACATACATACTACATACATACATACATACATACATACATACATACATACATACATACATACATACATACATACATACATACATACATACATACATACATACATACATACATACATACATACATACATACATACATACATACATACATACATACATACATACATACATACATACAATACATACATACATACATACATACATACTACATACATACATACATACATACATACATACATACATACATACATACATACATACATACATACATACATACATACATACATACATACATACATACATACATACATACATACATACATACACTTTCAGTTTTATATATATAGATAGAACTGTCATTCGTTCATTTACATATATTTCTTATTTTTCAATACATATATTTATTTATTTATACTTTTTATTTTTATTGCTATACTTAAATAAAGTGTTTATCTTTATAAGTTTAACATTTTATTTTTTGTTTTGTTAATTTTTTACATTTATATATACGTATACAATTTTTATTACTTTGATTATTAGGCGATAAAAAATATTTTAAACAATTATTAAATGCAAACGCTTTAACCAATGAGCAAACCAATACTGAATGGAATATTTATATATAGAAAAATATATAGCAATTGATCAGTGTTGCCAATGCACATTTTAACTGATCAATTTTCTGGAGAACATTTTAGAAATACTTTAAAGAAGTATGCAGATTAATTAAATGACTTTTAAGTTTAGAACTTAACTGAAAAGGATCGGCTAGTGTTTAAGTATTATCGGTTCAATCAAACAAAACATCTGTCAACCCTTACTAACACATATCTTAAGGCAAACTTAAATAGTTATATCAAATTAAAAATTCTAAACGATTTTATAAAAGAACATGAGAAAACTGTTGGCATTATGGCAACTCTCATAAATATGATTAATAATACATATCGCACAGGATATCTTTTGAAATAAATTATTGATATTTTTTATAAAAAAAAATTTTAAATAAAAATTATTAAGAAGATTTCATTAAATATTAGCTTTAAAATTTGAAATTGAAATAGCTATAGGCAATCTTAGGAATTGATCGTACATATATTCTACATACGTAGAATATATTTTTTATAGGCGCTAGTGAGAGTGAGAATTTGTTTTTTATTACAAGCTCAAAGATTAAGGTGGTTCCAAAAAAAGTTTACAAACGCTTTCTTGAAATAAAAATATTTTTCCTACTTTTATAGGGCTTGAAGGACCAATTGATTTTCTATACAAACTTAACTGATCATAAATTTGTTTATAGGAAATTGACTGATCGTAAACTAACTAATTGTAACTTTTCTATGGGAAACCAAATGTTTTTTTTACAGAAAACAAACAGATCGCAATGTTTTCTATGGAAAATTAAGTGATCGTAAAACTTTCTATACAATTCTATACTGATCGTAAAGCTTTTTATAAATATAACTAATGTTAACTTTATTTTTAGGAAACTAACTAACTGATCATATTCTAACGAAACTAACTGATCCTTCCTTAGTCAGCAAACTAAGTTTTGTATAGAAAACAGATTAATGTTTTCTTTAAAAACAAACCGATCATAATGTTTTCTACACAGAAAAAAAAATATCGTACAATATTGTAAAAAAATCTGTTGCGTTTTAGGTGACGATATGTAACTTGTTCTATTCTTGCTATTAAAAACAAAGTAAAGATTTAACTTATTCACAAATGGCACCCACCCTAATATTTTCACATAATCATTATCTCACGCCATATTTGCAAAAAAATTTGTGGACGTTCTTATCTCTCCTACTAAAAATCAATTTCTTGTTTTTTAAAGAGGGAAATTCCCCAATCAAACGTTAAATTTTTTTTATGAATTCTAACATTCTATGATATTTCTAACATCAAGTTGATGGGTCTAACATTCTAACATCAAAAAGTGATTATGAGTCGATTGGTATACTTTAAGGTTACAAACATCAGCACAAACGCATAATACCCTCCCCCACTATAGTGATGTAGGGTATAAATAGATGTCGATGTTAAAAATGTAAGTTAACTATGTAGTATTCTTTTTTTCAAGATTTTTTAATTTTTTTTAATTTATTGGACCAGTCTATGAGCTATTAGATGTACTAAAATATTGGCTAATTTATGCACTTGGACTGGTTTACTGACTATAGTTGCCAAGATGTATATTTTAATTAAATTAATTTTTATTATAAAACAATTTAAAGAACTTAACAATACAAAAGTTTATGAAAAGAAAAATCTTTTTGTTTCAGACCTTTTGGTACATGAATACCTGTATTTGTATTACAGTGATGGCTTATATTAGATCTTACACTTTTAAAATGATCTTTTAATGTGAACAAAATGTCAGAAGCATCAAAATTTCCAGAAGCTGTTATTATTTCTCCAGGTAACAGTAAATTTTCACCATAAACCATTTCTGAGGGTGTAGCTTGTAGATCTTCTTTAAATACTGAACGAATACCTAGTAGAGCAATCGGAAGTTCGTTATACCAATTCGCTGATTAACCCTTAGCCATCAATGTTGCCTTAAGTTGTCTATAAAATCGTTCAATCATGCCATTAGATTGAGGGGGTGATATGGTGAAGTAGTTATTTTAAAACATCCTAACATGTCTGTTAATTCAGAAAACATCTTAGAAATGAACTGTCCGTCTTGATCTGATTGTTATCTGAATGTATCTACTATAGTTGATGTTGTGATGTCTTTTAAAAGGATATGTTTCAGGACAACGAGTAAAACTGTCGATTATGGCTAATATGTATCTATGTCCTTGAGATATTGGAAAAGGTCCAACAATGTGTAAATGTATATGTTCGAATCTTCCTTTGGGTATTTTTATTTCAACTACTGGTGATTTAAAATGTCAGAAGCATCAAAATTTCCTGAAGCTGTTATTATTTCTCCAGGTAACAGTAAATTTTCACCATAAACCATTTCTTTATCTTATCTTTCAGTTGTTCTTCATATAATATTCTAAGATTAAGATCTAAATGTTTATATGCTTCGACTTCAAACGTTCTTGATAAAGTATCAGCTACAGCATTAACATCGCCTTTTATATGTCGGATGTCGCTAGTAAATTGCGAAATATATTCTAAGTGTCGTATCTGTCTTGGACATGATTCTGTTTTTGAATCTAGAGCAAACACTAAAGGTTTGAAATGATTCAACAAAACCCGAGATGCAAATGATTCTTTAATGCGATCAAATGCATTAAGAGCATCTTTAGACCATTCCAGATTTTTATTTTTCTTATTCAATGCACTGGTAATTGTAGCATGAATAGGATTAGTTAATTCAGCTAATTTAGGAATGTATCTATGGTAGTAATTTAGCATTCCAACAAATTTCTGAACTTGTTTTTCTCTTCAGATGGTTTTATATCAGTATTCCAGATGTTGTGACCTAAAAAATCTATATCTACACAACAAATGTACACTTCCCTGGTTTGATATTCAACCCATATTCTTCTAATCGTTGAAATACTATTTTCCAAGTGATATAAATGTTGTTCATTGTCTTCACTATATATAAGAATTACATCGATATACACAAACACGAAATCTAAACCCGTAAAAACTTAATTTTTAAATCTTTGAAATGTCTGTGCAGAATTTCGTAAACCAAATGGCATACGTTGGAACTCAAACATTCGGAATGGAGTTGTAATTGCCGTCTTAAATATAACTTCTTCCGCAATTGGAATTTGGTGATAAGCACGTACGTTCATATTTAAATCGTGAATATGAGGTAAAGGATATCTGTCTCTAAAGTCACCGCACGGACGCCATTCGTTTGGGTCTTTCTTAGGAACCAAATGGAAAGCAGATGCTACACTTGAATTAGACGGTCTACATATACCTGCTTTTACAAGATACTCAAATTCCGTTTTCGCTACTTTATATTTTACGGGGTCTAAACGATGGGGTTTTGAAAAAGGTTAGGGTCCTTTTGTTATTAATCTGTGAACTGTTGAATGTTTTATTGGTTTTGTATAATCGGGTTCTAATATCTGTGAAGGAAACTTTCTTAAAAGTTGTGTATATTGATTTTAGGAAGTGATACATTACATGAACTTGAAAACGTATTAACGTACAAATTTGTAAGTGGATCGATTAGGCACTTATGTTTAATGTCTATTAAAAGGCCATTGTTCTATATTAGAACTTCTAGAAGCTTGTCTGACACTACATATTTCACCATTGTAAATTACTTCCCATAATCTATTAGCTAGTTGAACTAATTTATTATGATCACTTATATTTGATCCCGTCAATGCCATATTTAGGCTTTTTGGAAGTTTACGTAGCCAAAGTTTGGTCAATACATCTGAACTAAAATTGAAACCAGTGAGAAGAGCTAACGATCTATAATATACTGATGGCTTTCTATCTCCCATATCACTATCAGATAAAATTTTATCTAATTTCAAAGTTTCGCTTAAAGAGAAACGTTCGATCAAAATCTTCTTGAGATTTAGGTATCTTTCAGTTGTAGTTGGATTCTGAATAATATCTAACACTTTTATAATAACTTCTTGAAGAAGAGCTGTTATTATATATTCATATTTGGTTTGGTCTGCAGATGTGCCTCTTGTTGCAAATTGCATTTCTGCAATTCTTCAGGACAATTTGTCCAGAATTGAGGGAGTTCAATAGTCGCAGCTCATATGTCTAAATCTATCTGGGAATTCCTATCAGTCGATTGATTACCAAATGTATTTGGATTTAAAACAGTATTTCGTCACCTGAAACGCAAACGGCCCTAACTAACCAAAAATTCAAAATCGATTTTATTGGTGATTCTAATGTATTGCATCAAAACAAATGTCCACACCAAAAAATGGATCCCTGCGACCATAATTATCGATTTTATTGACAGAAAACAAAAGGCCCTATCTACAAAAACATTTAAATACTAAAGGTAAAAAGTTCAATTTATCCATTTTTATATACGCCATAACGATCGATTTACCCAATCATCTTCAAAAGTTGTAGCTATTTTTTTTATATTTTCTAAATTAAATTTTTTTTATCCCGAATATCTATAATAATATTCACAAAAATTGTCGGGGTTATTGAAATCCTTTACAAAATAATTAAGGATTATAAGAAGTTCTAAAATTTATTTTTTTTTATAAAAATATGTGTTTTTAATGAGGATTATCTATAATTGATTCTATCCCTCATATAAAGACACCTTCAGAAAATCACTTTAACTTTCAAAACTTACTTAATAATATGATAATAGCGACGAAATTTGACACGAACACGTTTTTAAGGAATAAAAATCTACTAAATTTGATGGCGATCAGTCCATAATTGATCCAACCACCTATGCAAGGTCAATTTCAGAAAATATCTTTATGGCTAATTGACGAATTGATCAATTATGAAGTGATTTTCTGAAGGGGAAATTATATGGGACAATTATGGTCCGATGTTCACCATACATTACAATATAAATTTTGATTGCATTAAACTAAATTGTGCAAACTTTTTTGAGCAGATTATTAAAGTTGGACTACGAACCGTTATTGGTGTTCCTTCTCTATAGAAG